TATACAAAATAAACACTTATCCTACACACTCCCACCAGCCCTTCACACCCCTATCATTCTCTAGTTTTCTCAATTGCAGTAAAATGCACGATTTACCCAGTTATTTAGGCCCTAGACATGGAAGTTATTTTCAATTCCTCTCTTTTTCTCATGTCCTTATGTCCAAACTTGTCAGCTCTACCTTTGAAATGAGTGCTGAATGTGATCACTTCTTACCACCTCCACCAATCTCACCTTAGCTGAGGCATCAAGACCTTTCTCACCATGACTTCTCCAACAGCCTCCTAACTGGTCTCCCTGCTCCCACTCTTACCCCAAACAGCCCACTCTCCACCCAGCATCTTGAATGATCTCTACAAAGCATAAGTCCAGCCACTCACCTGATAAAAACCCTCCAACTAAATAAACTTCCCACCACAATTAGAATAATATGCAAATTTTACTTTGGCCTCACAAACCCACATTTCCTTGACCTTGTCTATTTCCCTAGCCTCTTTCTGAACTTGTCTTTCCCCTTATTCTCTGTAGTTCAGTCACACTGGCCTCTTTGCTCAACCTTGAACAGGTCATGTTCTTTCCTATTTTTGCACTGGAAGTTCGTTCTGCCCAGAAAGCTCTTCCTCCCAGACTTTGCAAGTCTTGCTTCTCACTTCAGTCTGGTGTGTGCTCAAACATCACCTCTTCAGAGAGGACTTTCTTTACCCCTTACCCTGCATTGTCCTGCTACTCTCTAGCCTCTTATTTTGTTGACTTATTAAATAGTGCTTATTAATCCTGAATTATTTTTAATATTAAATGAACTTTAATATTAAATGAACTTTATTTTATCCTTATTTTTAAATGAATAGTTTTGTTGTTGTTGTTGTTGTTGTTGTTGTTGTTTTTGGTACGTGCCCCTAGAGGGAACTGAACCCAGGACTCTCTGGTCTGCAGGCCGATGCTCCAACCACTGAACCAAACCCCGAGGGCTGAATAGTTATTTTTAAATACTAATTAAAAGTATAATGCTAGATCTACCTGAATAAGAGGAACTGTAACATTAATTAAATAACAGTAACTAAACGAAAAAGACATAAATCAAAATTACTTTAAAGAAAAAAACAATACAGTTGTTCTGAGTGGTTGTGGGAATTTGGGACCCAGATGCTGTGGAAACTGAGTCAACCCTGCAGGTGACCCTGAATTCTTAAGCTCTTACTGTAAGGGGGCCCTAATGACTCATGGGAGCCCTGACACTTCCCGGCCTCTTCAGGCTGCAGGAGGAACAGTAGGAGCAAAAGGGCAACTTGGGAAAAGCTGGAACTTGGACTCGACCTTGGCCAGCATTTGTCTGTTGTGATCATTTTCTTTCCTTACCTCCTTGAGCTTTCTATCAATCCACATGGCTGCGTTCCAGCTTTCTTAAGCCCTTTCTCATAGAAGACGATCTCCTTTTCCTTGGTACGAAGTGCTTCTCTCCTGTCCTTGCCCAGGTCTTCAGCCATCTTCCTGTAGAGGTTGCATATCTGATACGCAAAGTTCATGTATCTACAGATATGTTGAGAAGTTTCTTCTCCATTTCTAAGCAGCTCGTTTCCTCCTCAGTTTTTTTCTGAAGTTGGGTTAAGTGATCTTCATGTGATGCAGGCAGAATTTGAAGCTTCAGCTTCAGCTGCTGAACCTCGCTTTCTAGGTTTGAATTTTCACACTGCAAAGATGCTTCGAATTGGAGGTCGGTTATCTGTCCTGTGAGCTCTTCATTCATTTGCTTTTCTTCCCACAATTGCCTAGCTGTTTCCTGATGTTCTTTCTCAGGACTTTGAAGGGACACATTAAAGTTGGCATCATCAGGGACACCCTTCTGATTAACTTGTGACTGAAGGACAGGGTGATTGTCATTTTCTGCTTCCCTGTTTTGTTCGACCTGCCACTTCACGTGACCTAAGTGATGTCTAAGGAAATCAGGCAAAGGGATCATCTGTAGCAATTTTTCAACCACTGGTATTAATTGGCTCATTTTATCTTTCAGGACCTGCTCCATTTATATGTTTGCTTCAGCCTGTCTTTCTCCTTCTGCTCCTTTTCCTGGGCTTTCTGCCTCCATCTCAGAATTTCCTGGTGGAGCAGCTGTGGACTTTCTGAAAGATGAATGTTTGCACTGTAATCATTTGTTATTTTCTTCTGAAGTTGCTCTCCATCAATCTCTGATGCTTTTGAGATGGGTTTTCCATCAGTCAACAGGGAAAGTTTAGGAGACTGGCTCTTCGATGCCATTTGCAGAGTCGACCTTGTTCTGAAGTGACAAACTGCTCTGATTTGTGCTCAGTGCTAACAAGCCCAAGGACTGGCCTCCACCCCAGGCAGCCTGAGGGAGTCATTGGCGTGCATCACCAGTTCAACATTCTCACTACATCTTCCACAGACTTCATTGAGGGCAGAACACCTTTTGCCTAGTGTCTTCATATTCTTAAAGTGCACTATCTCTTTACTATCAAAGACACCAACACACAACACAAACCAGGATTTCCCAGGGACACACAGGGAACTGGGATGTGTCTCAAGCTTTCAGAAATCACCAACAGAGCATTACACAGGTACTTCAGGAACAGATGCAAGGTGGATGTGGTGGCAGGGCACACAGCTCTGTCTCTGAGTGCCAGTGTCTTGTGGGCCATAAATGACCACTCAGAGCCCTTGGAGTGTTCTGTCTCTAAGATAAACAGGTACCCAGCCACCAGGGCAGATCAGTTGGGCTGGGGGGAAGAGGTCAGCAGGTTCTAGAAAACAGTTTTCCCTAACTTTGCTCTGAAATAGCAAGTGATCTTATGTATACAGGCAGGTGGAGAGGGCCTATCACAGTCTGGAGTAGAGTATTCACATGTATGCTTTTGCCTCCTCCATAAAGTGTCCCTTACTATTAATAACCTTGCATTAGTGTGATACTTTTGTTTTAATTCTCACATTATTATCAACAAAAGTCCATAGTTTGCATTAGGGTTCACCCTTTGTGTTTCATAGTTCTGTGAGCTTTTGACAAATACGTGATGTCATGTATCCACAATACATTATCATACAGAATAATGTCACAGCCCCCAGAATACCCTGTATCCCACCTATTCATCCCTCCTCTTGTACCTCTGGAAACCACTGATGACTTTCCTTGTTCTGAAGTCTGCTTTGTCTGATATTAATATATATAGTTTTGCTTTGTTTTAAACTTTTCAATTACAGTTGATATTCAATAGTATTGTATATTAGTTTCAGGTGTACAATCCTGATTTCTTAACATACATTTATTTGTTCATTTCTATCTCCCCCAAAAGAATACAACATCTTACTGGCAAGGACTTTTCCTTCTTGTTCATTCTAATGTTTACAACAAGTGCTCAATAAGTACTTGCTGAGTGAATGGACATAAGAATAAATGTGGGAACTTCAGGAGGAAGTAAGAGATGGGATACAGAAAGGTAGACAAGCTGGCAGAGGCTTAGGCAGAGTGTTATTTAAGTAAATGTAAAGCTGTGAAATACTTCCAGGAACAGAGTAAGCAACAATGATGGACAGACACAATGGAAGGTAAGGCAGAGGACTCAGAAGGGCCTCTTTGGAAGGAAATTTCTGCAATGATGAATGTTCTCTATTTCTGTTGTCCAAAACAGTAAGCACTGGCCACATGTGCCCACTGAGTACTTAAAATGTGGCTAGTGGGACTGAGAAACTGAATGTTAATTTTTTTTCATTTTAATTTATATTAAATAGCCACAAGTGGCTGGTGGCTATGGCATTAGACAGTGAAGCTCTAGAATCTGAAGAATCCCTTCCTCCCAGTGTGATTTTAGGATAACAGTTCATACCTCATATAATGAGTTGTTGAGAAGATGAATGTAATAAAAAGCCTTGTCAAATGCCTGAAACAGAGCTGGTCCTCAAAAAAATAATAATAATAATAATAAATCATAGCTGCTATTATTACTGAATTGCAAATTAAAGTACTTTTAAGTACATACCACTTAAACTTGGCTCTAAAGTGCTGGAAGCAGACTTTTATTAATTTTCACCATAATTTTTTATTTGCTAGAGTTAGTAGATAACCAATGTGTTGGTCTATATTTGAGCTCACTAACTAAAAATAGCAAATAACCATGTTGGAATCTCAGTAAGGCCTTTCAGTGATACAAGACTCTTTCAAGTGGATCCTCTTGCTGATACTTCTAATGAGCTAATTAGTTCTAACAACTGCTAATTTAACATTTGCAAAAACCAAATGTGTAACATTACTGCATATTTCCAAACTGAGTCATCTGCAACTTTCTGAATACTTTTTTTTATAAGAGTAAAGTTAGCTTTACCACTTACTATTAAAATAAAGAAAAAGGTATTTTATTACTGGGAACATTATGTTGAATTCTTTAAAGCTTAAATTGATTTAAACTAAAATCACTCTTTTTTTCTTGTCAGATGTTTGCCATACTTTCTTTCACACTGAATCCAGAATATTTAACGCAGATATAGGTCATAAGCAGAGCACTATAACTAACCCTTAGGGATAATCTAATCTAATAATAAAATTACACATTTGTTCAGAATAAACATGGTGCTTATTTTTAGGCCAAGAGAATTTTCAGTCCTTAACAGCAGAGGTGGAAGTGGGATTCCACAGACCCTACTGAAGTGCTGGTGGAGACTCAGATTGAAAGACGGTGGATGTATTTAAATTAAACACATGCTTAAAGGTATTGAAAAAAGTTGACGTTCTTATTAAGGAGACCAATTAATCTGTATCAGTTAGAAGCCACTTTACAGTAGTTGAAAAAGTGCCCCCAGAACATAATATAAATGAGATTGAAGTAGAAAGGGAGTGGAAATTACTTTTCTACAAAGGAGCCTTTCCAAACTGCCCTCCTGGCTTTGCTGTTTGAAATGCAGATCCTTTCTGGCCCACTCCAACTATCACCCCAACTGTGAATCTGAGGTAGCAGACCGGGAAGAGGGTGAAGACCCTAAATACTAAGAAGACTTACCAATAGGCATTACTAAGAAAAAAGGCAGCCAGCAGAGGACGAAGCAGCCGACCACGATGCCCAGTGTTTTGGCAGCTTTCTTCTCCCTGGAAAACTTGAGGAGTCTCACGGAGAAGTGCGTTTTGTTTCTGGCGCTGCACACCCCGCTGCCTCCTACCCGGGCATTTTTCCGATGAATACGGAGCGTCACCTGCTCCGACTCCGACTTGTCGGTCTTGAGACCGGACCTGAGGCCCCGGCTCTCCCTCTTGGCCACTACGTAGACCCGGCAGTACATGACCAGGATGATGGCGAGCGGCACGTAAAAGGAACCCAGTGCCGAGAAGAGCACGTAGCCCGGCTCCTCAGTGATCTGGCAGATGGTCTCATCCTCGGGGGCCGGCTGCCTCCAGCCGAACAGAGGCCCGATGGAGATGACGAGGGAGAGTGCCCAGACGCAGAGCAGAGCCATGAGACCCCTCTTCTGGGTCACGATGGTGGGGTAGCGCAGCGGGTAGCTCACGCCAATGTAGCGGTCAATGGAGATGATGCAGAGCCCCATGATGGACGCGGTGCAGCACAGGACGTCCACCGCCGCCCAGATATTGCAGAAGATTCTGCCAAAGGCCCAGTAGCCTAGGATCTCGAAGATAGCGGAGAAGGGTAGCACGGTGGATGTGAGTAGAAGGTCGGCCACCGCCAGGTTGACGATGTAGTAGTGAGTGACGGAGTGCAGATGCCGGTGGCAGGCCACCGAGAGTATCACTACGATGTTCCCCAGTACCCCGAAAATGATGAGAGTCCCCAAGGTCACCCCCAGCAGAATGGCCTTGGAAATGTTCACCGGTGCCGGCGGATGAGTGCAGTTGGAGCTGTCGGAGACATTTCCAGAGAGAAACAGCATGATCCTGGCTTGGCCCTGCGAGGTCCGGCTCTCCGCCACCCCCAGGCAGGGGAGGGGGCGCAGGAGGGATCTAAGAAGCTGGGAGTCAAAAGGTCTCGGCTTGAGGGATCCTTGAGGGCTGGGGTTGGCTGGGCATGACAGAGAGCTTGCAGGTGGAAAGCAACCCCAGCCAGCCCTGGAAACCCTCAGAACGCCACGCAAAAAGACAGGACATTAAAGGCAACATGGCCAGGGACGCGCGGGGTAGTCCGCGGACGCCCTCCACCCGCTGCTTTGGTCCCAGACCCCAAGTCCCTACCTACCAGAGGCTTGGCGCCAAGCTTGAGGAGACAAGTTGCAAAATGCAATCCCAGAATTACAGGAATCCTCTTTTCTGTACTGTCTGATCTGTACAGATTAGAATAGTCAGCATTCTGCACATCATTTGGAATTCCAAAATCCAGCGCCAGACCCCCTAACCCCCAAACCACAAGCAAGTTGTGATCTGCCGTCGACTCCTAAAAGCGGGGACCGTTGGGCACTGCTTCCGGCACTCAGTTTCCCACAGAGTGGCTGGTCCGCTGTGTACTTGTGCTAGGTCCAGCTTCTACGCGCACAGTCTGGTAGACATGGATGTGAACTGCTTGCCAAGACCCAGGAGGCTGTGGAGGGTTGTTAGTTGAATGCGCAAAGAGAAAGGCGGGGTGTAAATCACGAACAAGGGGCATCGAGGTCGTGCCGGGCTCGACGAATAGGACTTGGCTGGGTGCCCGGCTGACTCTGCGGTACCAAAGCAGCTGGCCCTGCGGTAGCAGAGGGTCCGCGGGAGACGTTACGCACGCAGTGCCCTAGCTGCTGGGAACCTGCCCTAGAGCGCTCGGCCGCGCGACCGCCGGCAGGGTTCAAACCAAAGCAAATGAAGTCCAAACTGCAGCTGCAGGCTGCTGGAGGTGTACGGCGAAATTAAAATCCCCGAAGCCAGCAAGGCGCTAAGGTTGCTGGCGAGTGTGTCTCACCAGCTAAATCAGTGGAATCCGAAAGATCTACCAGGCGGCCATCTGAACAGGTTGCTTCGCAGCCACCTGGAGGGGCCGGCAGGGGAAAGGGAACCGCTTCCTCCCGAGGCCTGCAGGGCCAGTGCCACGCGCACACTCGTGCCTAAGTAATTCACACTTGGATGTGCAGAGCGCGTGTGTCTGTCGGCCAGCCAAATTGGCCTGAGAGTCAGGTCCTGAGCAAAGCCTGAGGGTTGAACGCGACCTAGGTCGAGCCAGGATTCCTTTCCAATCCACAGGGCCAGAGGTCCTGGAGGACTGAAGCCTGGAGCCACACACAGGAGGGGTACAGCTGAAAAATTTGAGGGGATGGGGGAAGATTCACTCCGCGGAAGGGGCTTTGCAAGTGGCAGCACTGCGAATTTCGTAGGCGTAAAAATCAAACCCGCGCACCAGCTGACACAGGATGTCTTGTTTGTTCTGGGCTGGGGGCCACGGTCAATGTAGGACACCTAGGTTTTCACAGCTGCAAGTCGACCACAGGAACTCAGGCAGGAGTGCGAGGAGTGGGGACCCATCTTGGCTTCTAAGGACTCTGGAATTTGGCGCTGAAGCGGGACCTCCAGGCAAAGGCCCCTGTGCAAGTCACAAGTTCATGAGTTCACAGGTGGTCATAAAAGCAAGAAACAGCAAAAATTCTTCCCCTGCACCCCTACCTCGGGGATAACTAAGAATATATAAAGAAAAAGAGGTGGGGTGGAGATACTGGTGTCAGAATAGGTGAAAAAAGAGGGAGGCGCTGGGGGATATGGTGTTCTGCTCACCTAGAGGCCGAGAGCGATATGCCCTCACCCACCCTGCCCTACGGAATGCCCGCTCGAGCACTCACCTGCAGCCCCAGGCAGAGCCACCAGCGGGGGCGGAGCCGGGGCGAAGGGATTTCTGTGAAAGAGCAGTCCTGCCGCCTGTCTATGGGGATAGTACCGTCTCTCCCAGGAACTAATTCCTAGTCCTTTTGCGCTCGCTTACTCACCCCTCCGCCACTACTGTCTTTAAGCTCCTGACTCGCTATCCTTTACCTGGAGATTTTAAAATAAAGAATGAAATAGAAAAGAAAAAAAAAAAAAAAACAACCCCCCCCCACACACACACACATACACACACCATCAATAACTCCACATTCACCTTTTTAATGTTCAGATCCCTGAAATCAGCAAAGAAACTGGCAAGAAACGTTGCGGTTGTCTCTTGACCTAACACAACATAGAATTTACTAGGGAAAAAAGTAAATAAGACTGGTGATATCAGATTTTCATACTCCAACTATTAATAAATAGAGAAGAGAAGTAACTCTCCTTTAAAGGATGTATTTCCTTATGAAAACTGAGAGAGATATGTGGCCCTTCAAAAAACACTAAATTAGCCCTGCAGGTTGTTTTAGCCCTGGTAGAGGATTTGATTCCTTGTGAAGGACACATATGTGGGTTAGATCTCCAGCCAGGTTGAGGTCATTCTGAAGGCAATCAATCAATGTGTTTCTCTCACACCGATGATATTTCTCTCTCTCTCTCCCTCCCTTCTACTCTAACAATCAATGAAAAAATATCCTTGGGTAAGGATTAACAACAAACAAACAAACAAACAAACACTAAACCATATAAGAAACTACAGTGAAACTATAATATTTTATAAATTTATAGATATGCTTAGTTCATCTTCCTGCAATTATAATTTTATTCTAATCAGATTTATTGACTTTTTTCTTATTTTACTTGTATCTTAAAACTTCTGCAGAAAATATAATTTACTTGCATTTGGCATAACAACATGCTTCTTCCTGATTTTAACAGAACTTAGTCCAAGTGTTAATCGAATCATGCTGAGCATTTCTTTGAATACAGTAATTAATACGTCTGGTGAGTGTTGGTGTTTCTTTTTTTTAAAAATAAGATCATTTAAATAAGTTATTTACTACAAATAAAAATTCCCCATCCCCACACACCTTTTTATAATTTATTTTTATTAAATTTATTGGGATGAATTGGTTAATAAGATCATATAAGTTTTGAGTGTACACTATTATAGCATATCATCTGTATATTGCATTGTGTTCTCATCACCCAAAGCAAGAACCCAAGCCACTCAAGGCAAGATAAAAATATACATATATGGCTTTGTGCACATACCTGTGCTGCAGAGTAAGGGCAACTGTAGGAGATCCTGTACTAGCTGGGGCTTAGGTCTGAGCCCTATATCATCAGTGTGAGAGAAACACATTGATTGATTGCCTTCAGAATGACCTCAACCTGGCTGGAGATCTAACCCACATATGTGTCCTTCACAAGGAATCAAATCCTCTACCAGGGCTAAAACAACCTGCAGGGCTAATTTAGTGTTTTTTGAAGGGCCACATATCTCTCTCAGTTTTCATAAGGAAATACATCCTTTAAAGGAGAGTTACTTCTCTTCTCTATTTATTAATAGTTGGAGTATGAAAATCTGATATCATCAGTCTTATTTACTTTTTTCCCTAGTAAATTCTATGTTCTGTTTATCTTACAATTGAATAAAGCTATATGTGTTTTGGAATATTGGGAGAAATGCTAGAATTTTCTGCACTCTGATTTCCACCTCCTAAATCATCTTTCATCTTCATGCATTGAGACAAAACACATTGTTTTAAAAATATTTACTAAGTTCCTTTAAACCTAGTAACAAAAAGATAACTTTGTTATGCACTTGAATTCTTTTCCTTAAACAGAAGTTTATTAATACTATTACCTTTCCCATGGGAGATATTTGAAAGTATCGCTCTTTTTTAACAATATACTTCAAATGCCTTGGAGGAATGCCATGGGAAGATCAGTGGGCTCTGCTTCATTGAAACCTAATATTTAGAATCCCTTTTAGGCCCAGCCTGTATGGCTTAGTGGGTTGAATGTCCTCCCATGGACTGAGAGGTCCCAGTTCAATTCCCAGTCAGGGCACATGCCTGGTTGTAAGCTCCAGCTCATTCCTGGTGGGGACTGTGAAGGAGGCAGCCCAATGACATTTCTTTCTCTCTCCCTTCCTCTCTCTCTAAAACAATCAATAAAAATATTTTTTATTTTTTTAATTTATTTAATTTTGTTACAGATGTTTCTTCTTTTTCCCTCACTTATTCCCTCCTCCCGACCCCTCCCCACCCTGTCCCCAGCTTTGTTGTCAATGTCTATTATTGGTGCACACATGCATATAAGTTCTGTGGTTTATCTCTTCCCCACCACTGCCTTCTGGGAAATGTCAGTATGTACCCACTTCAAAGTCTCTGGAACTACCCCATTCCTCAGACTGTTATGTTCATTATATTCCACAAATACGTGAGATCATATGATACTTATCTTTCTCTGTTTGGCTTGTTTTGCATAGGATAATACTTTTCAGGTCCCTCCATGTCATCTCAAAGGTTAAGAGATCTTTCTTTCTTACAGCTGCATAGTACTCCATAGTATATGTACCACAGCTTTTTTATCCATTCATCTATTGATGAACACTTGGGCTGTTTCCGGATCTTAGCTATTGTAAATAGTGCTGCTAAATACATGGGGGTACATATATTCTTTCTGATTGGTGTTTCAGGCTTCTTAGGGTATATTCCTAGAAGTGGGATCACTGGGTCAAATGGAAGTTCAATTTTTAACTTTTTGAGGTAACAACACATTGTTTTCCACAGTGGCTGCACCAGTCTGCATTCCCACCAGGAGTGTACTAGAGTCCTCTTTTCTCCACACCCTCACCAACACATGATATTTGATGATTTGTTGATGGCAGCCATTCTGACAGATGTGAGGTGATACCTCATTGTTGTTTTAATTTGCATCTTTCTGATGATTAGTGATGTTGAGCATTTCTTCATATGTCTCTTAGCCATTTGTATGTCCTGTTTTGAGAGGTGTTCATTCATTTCCTCTGCCCATTGTTTAATAGGGTTCTTTGTCTTCCTTTTGTTGAGTTGTATGAGCACTCTATATATATTGGAAATTAACTCCTTATCTGATATATCATTGGCAATTATGCTCTCCCATACAGTGGGTTGCCTTTCCATTTTGATGGTTGTTTCTTTTGCTGTGCAGAAGTTTTTGAGTTTGATGTAGTCCCATGTGTTCATTTTCTCCTTTGTTTCTGTTGCCTTGGGTGATGTATCAGTGAAAATTCTGCTGCATATGATGTCTGAAATTTTGTTGCCTACATTTTCTTCTAGGATTTTTATGGATTCATGAGTCACATTCAAGTCTATTAACCATTTTGAGTTTATTCTTGTGTATGTTGTAAGCTGATGGTCTATTTTCATTTCTTTTGCATGTAGCTGTCCAATTTTCCCAATACTATTTACTAAAGAGGCTGTCTTTTCTCTACTGTATGCTCTTACCACCTTTGTCAAATATTATTTGAGCATATTGTCTTTGGTCCATTTCTGGGTTCTCTATTCTGTTCCATTGATCAATGTGCTTGTTCTCGTGCCAGTACCAGGCTGTTTTGATTACAGTGGCTTTGTAGTATAACCTGAAATATGGTAATGTGATGCCTCCAACTTTGTTCTTCTTTTGCAAGATAGCTGTGGCTATTCGGGGTCTTTGTTGGTTCTATATAAACTTCTGAAGTATTTGTTCTAGTTTCTGTGAAATATGTTGTTGGTATTTTGAGGAGGATTGCATTGAATCTATAGATTGCTTTGGATAGTGTGGACATTTTAATGATGTTAATTCTTCCAATCCATGAACATTGTCTGTGCTTCCACTTTTTTATATCTTTCTCTTTTTTTTTTTTTTTTTTTATCAATATCCTTTAGTTTTCTGCGAATAGGTCCTTTATTTCTTTGGTTAAGTTTCTTCCTAGGTATCTTAATTTTTTTGGCTGCAGTGGTAAATGGGATTGTTGTTTAGTTTCTCTTTCTGTGAGTTCATCATTGGTGTATAAGAATCTCATCGATTTCTTGACATTAATTTTGTATCCTGCTACTTTTGCCAAATTAATTTATTAAGTGTAATAAATTTTTATGGAGGCTTTGGGGTTTTCTACGTATAATATCATGTCATCTGCGAATAATGACAGTGTCACTTCCTCCTTTCCAATTTGGATCCCTTTCATTTTTTCTTCCTGTCTGATTGCTGTGGCTAAGACTTCCAGTACTATGTTAAGTAAGAGTGGCGAAAGTGGGCATCCTTGTCTTGTTCCTGTTCTTAGTTTTTGCCCATTGAGTATGATGTTGGCTGTAGGTCTTTCATATATGGCCTTTATTATGTCGAGATATAATCCCTTTATTCCCAAATTGCTGAGCATTTTTATCAGAAATGGGTACTGGATTTTGTCAAATGCCTTTTCAGTGTCTATTGATATGATCATATGATTTTCTCTTTCATTTTGTTTATGTGGTGTATCACATTTATTGATTTGCAAATATTTTACCAGCCTCACATCCCTGGGATGAATCCCACTTGATCATGGTAAATAATTTTTTTGATGTATTGCTGGCTTCGATTTGCTAGTATTTTTTTTTAGGATTTTGGCATCTATGTTCATCAGGGATATTGGCCTGTAGTTTTCTTTCTTTGTAGTGTTTTTTTCTGGTTTTAGAATTAGAATTATGCTGGCCTCATACAACAAGTTTGGAAGTCTTCCTTCCTGAATTTTTTGAAATAGTTTGAGGAGAATGGGTATTAGTTCTTTTTTCAATGTTCGGTAAAACTCCCCTGTGAATCCATTCAGGTCTGGGCTTTTGTTTGCTGAGAGAGTCTTGATTATATCTTCAATGTTTTGTTGTTATTGGTCTGTTTAAGTTTTCTATCTCTTCCCGGTCCAGTTTTGAGAGACTGTGTTTTTCTAGAAATTTGTCGATTTTGCCTAGATTTTCGAATTTTTTACTGTAAAATTTGTTCATAATATTTGTTAGGAATCCTTTGTATTTCTGTGGTATCAGTTATTATTTCTCCTCTTTCATTTCTGATTTTGTGTGTTTGGGTACTTTCTCTTTGTTTCTTGGTGAATCTAGCTAAGGGTCCATCAATCTTGTCTATCTTTTCAAAGAACCAGCTCTTTGTTTCATTGATCCTTTGAATTGTTTTTTTTTGGTCACCATGTCATTGATTTCTGCTCTGATCTATACTATTTCCTTCCTTCTACTTGCTGTGGGTTTTCTTTTTGTTTCCTTTCTAGTTCTTTAAGTTGTGATGTTAGATAGTCTATTAGAAATGTTTCTTGCTTCTTGAGGTAGGCCTGTAGTGCTATGAACTTCCCTCTCAGAACTGCTTTCGCTGCATCCCATAGATTTTGTGTTGTTGTGTGTTCATTTTCATTGGTTTCAAGGAAGTATTTAATTTTTTCCTTGGTCTCCATGGTAACCCATTAACTGTTCAATAACATGCTATTTAGCTTCCATGTTTTCAAATGTCTTTACATGTTCTTGTTGCAATTGATTTCTAGTTTCATGCCATTGTGATCTGAGAAGATGCTTGATATGATTTCAATCTTCTTGAAGTTGTAGAGACTTCGTTTGTGCCTTAACATGTGGTCTATCTTTGACAATGTCCCATGTGCACTTGAGAAGAATGTGAATTCTACAGTTTTGGGGTATAATTCTCTGTAGATATTTATTAAATCCATTTCTTCTAGCACTTCATTTAGAGTTTATGTTTCCTTGTTAATTTTTTGTCTAGATGATCTATCCAGTGATGTCAGCGGGGTGTTGAAGTCCCCTGCTATGATTGTATTGCTGTCGATTTCTCCTTTGAAGTCCTCCAGAAGATTTTTAATATATTTTGGTGCACCTATATTGGGTGCATATATGTTTACCAAGGTTATATTTTCCTGTTGGATAGATCCTTTCAATATTATGTAGTGGTCTTCTTTGTCTCTAGTTATGGTGTTCATTTTGAAATCTATTCTATCAGATATGAGTATTGCTACCCCAGCTTTTTTTTCCTTTCCTTTTGCTTGAAAGATTTTTTTCTATCCCTTCACTTTAAACCTATGTGAGTCTTTTGTTGTGGGGTAGGTCTTTTGTAAACAACATATATGTGAGTCATACTTTCTTATCCAGTCAGCTACTCTGTCTTTTTATCATAGCATTCAAACCATTCACATTTAAGGTGAAAATTGATATGTAATTTTTGTTGCCATTTTTGTTTAGTGTGGTTCTATTTTTCTTCCTATTTCTTCTAGTAATTACAGCAGTCCTTTAGTATATATTGCAGTGCTGGTTTGCTGTTAATATATTTTCTTAGCCTTTTTTTTTTTTTTTTTGTCTCAAAGCTCTATATTTGACCTTCTATTTTGAATGATAGCTTTGCTGGATAGAGTAGTCTTAGACTCAGATTCTTGTTTTTCATGACCTTGATTACTTCATGCCATTGCATTCTGGCCTGTAGTTTTTCTGTTTAGAAGTCAAAAAATATGGAATGCTTCACAAATTTGCATGTCGTCCTGGCGCAGGGGCCATGCTAATCTTCTCTGTATCGTTCCAATTTGAGTATATGTGCTGCCGATGTGAGCACTAAAAACATATTTAAAAAAATAGATTTCCTTTTAGATTTTAATATTATTTTATGTGACTTTAATATTATTTTTAAATGTATACACAAATGTCTTGCTTGTTCATAAACTGAATTTTATATTGTACAAGAAGCACAATGGGTGAGGAGACAGTAAATCTAGGTTCACTCTAATTACTAAGTTACTTGCTGTCTCTCTGGGATTCTGTCCTCTCTGGTGGAGAAGGCAGGACTACAGTGACTCTTACATTTTATCATCAAATATGTATATAATGTCTGTTCTACAGAAACCTCATTCACCAGAGGGATGTATTATTGTTCAGTTTTATATTCATTAGCCATGTACTATGAATGGGAATGCTCCATTAGTATCTGTTCCATGGTAGAAAAGAAAAATAGTGTTTTTGGCAAGAAAAGCAACTGCAAGTTGCTCAGCTCTGCAAGGTCAACATGTACAAAAGTCTTTGGAACTCCCAGTCTAACTCCCCAATGAACAAGCATACTCACAAATCCTCTCCTTTCCTGGCAACTCTAGCTAGTGCCAAGACTGGGAAGAGTAGTTCCTTATTTCTAGCCTATATGCTACCAGGTAGGTCTTTCAAATTAGTTCTCAGCCTGTAAATGTCAGTCTTTGAGAAACTAACTCTCAGAAACAATTTTTCCCTCAATAATCATAGACCCACAAAGAAGGAACTATCCACTTGTTGGTACTTCTTTAAAGAATAGTTGTGTGGGGAAAAAGATACAGTAAACAAAAACCACATAAAGTAAGGAGGCCAGAAGGGACAACTCTCATGCCCTACCTTCATTGCTAAGCACAACAGGGAGAACTCTTTATAGTAGCCCTCCCAACTTCCTCTTCCTCTCCATAAAAATGTCCTTTCCTTTTTTCATTGAATTTGCACATGGCCTGCCATGGTTGCTTGTTCTGGCCTGCAATTTATTGTTGTTCCAGAATTAACCCATTTGCTGGAGAAATATCTGACTGACTTTTTGTTTTTGTTCAACAGTTGACATGGGTGTCCCATATAATGTTGAGTTAGACCCATGAGGAGGTGTAGTGAAGAAACAGTGGGCTGTGGAATCATAATGATTCTTTCCCTGACCTCCTATGAGACCAGGGCAAAACTCAGCTTCTCTGAGCCTTGTTTTTTTTTTTTGTTTTTTTTTTAATTTTTAAAGGGAGACAATAAAACCCCCCAGGATGGTTTTTAGGACCCAGTAAAATTATATCTTGTAAAGTTTATCAAAGCTCTTATTCTAAATCTTATTAGCCCTTACCTTTTTTGTTATATTCTGTGCTACTTTAAAGTAAAACACCCTTCTAATCCAGAGTGATTCAACTTCTATGCTTACATGAGCAAAATATATTCATCTGGAGAAATGTGTAAAATGACCTAAGAATTACTCCTGGAGTAGGTGAGCTGGTCCTGGCCACTGGCTACTGCTCTTTTCCTCCCCACTCCCCCTTGTCCTGCATCTTGACGAGTCATGCATATATGTGTGAACACTGCAGTCTGATAATCCAGACAGCTGCCCTTTGGTATTTAGCCTCTGGATGCACACACCTGTGATATGGTCAGCCCTTGGAGGATGAGCCCAGGAAAAAGGTCTAAAGGCCCTCAAGTACTTGTGTGGCCATTTGGGGCAGGGAATTCTGGCTTTCAGAGTATGATGTAGAAGGCAGAGCATGGGCTCCAGGCAGGAATATCACCTTAATCTTTTGGTCCTGTGGACTGTTTGCCCCATGGAAAGAGCCATGGCCAGGGAGTCAGCACTGGGCTCTCTAAAGCCCAAAACCCGAGGCAGGGGTCCTCTTGCCTAGACCTAAGGGCACTATTCTTTTTACTTCAGGTGTAATGGAAATTGAGAAATCCACTGCAGGGGAGGGAACGTTCTGGGAAAGCTCATGGGATGACAGTGTTCGATTTAGGACTTATAGGATAAGCAGAATTCAGATTGCCAGACAAAAGTGAGGAAGGCAAATCAACAACAGCTGTACAGTAGAGTGGTATGAGTGTGAGTGTGTGTGTGTGTATGTGTGCAGACACATTGGAGGAACCAGTTTAACTGGAGAAGAAAGGCTTTTAATAATCATACACTCAATGCCTTCAATTGGCAAGACTGTTAGTGATTAATGAGAAAGCCAACAAGTATGGGGGGCTTGGAGGAAAAAATACTCAGAATCTGTTAATTATTATCTTAGAAGACAATACATAATGGAATTAGAAGCTGTTTTCTGGGACTTATGATTACAAGTGACAGAGTAGAGGGTTTCACATTAATATCCACCAAAAGATCTGGCTTTTCAACTAATTTTCCTAGGGCTTAAAAAGTTAAAATGGGAGGAAAATGAAAAGCATGGCTCTGAATGATATTGATGAAGTGTCAAGTCACAATTCTCCAAGCAAGCAGTGTGTTCTAATTCTTTGTCAAACTCAGAAAATTGCTCAATGCACAGACACGACTGAAGGAAGACTTGGAAGAGATAATTCTGTCTTTGGCATTATTCTCATGCTCATTCTCATCTCCCTGAGAAAATAATTTGCTCCAAATCTTATGAGTTGTAGCATACTATTCTTACATTGTATATTATGGTGGGAATGTGGGGTCAGGTCATCCTATAGCTGGATCAGGTAAATTATTCCTTTAAAACAATAAAACTTTGCTTCTTGCATTACAAATGTTAGTTGAGGTATAATAATAAAATTCTTTCAATATCTTTGTCAAAGATCATCTGAAAGGGAAGTGAAACACCTAAATCAATATCTATACCAAATGTAGAAATTATTTATCTCATTTCCTCACCTGCTAATGTACTGTAATAAGCACATTGAAATGCTTATTGACCTGTAATATTTCATTATAAAATATATGTTCACAATAGAACATTTCAAAAAGTTAGAAATGTATATAAGTAAAACTTATTTGTAATTCTACCACTGGAGAAATAGCCATTGTGAAATATTTGGGCATGTTTTCCCATTTTTCAAATCTAAGTGTGTAAATTATAAACATATATATGTTAAATATATTATACATTTTTATTACATGTGCACATATATTCACATTACATACAATAATGTGATCATACTGTATCTACAGTAATATATCTTGCTTTTTCATTTCATATTATTTTATGGCTACATTCTACATTATTAAATGTCTGTCAAAACATGATTTCAAACAACTGCATAGCAATTATATTACATGCATGTCATGATAATTTTAAGTAATTAGATATTTAGATTTTAAAATTGTTTACTTTATAACTTGTGATTGTCATATATAATTACTCTAAATTTTCTTAAAATTAACTTCTATAAGTGAATTTAGAGAATCAAAAATTATGAACATTTTCCCTGGTCAGGTATCTCAGTTGGTTAGAGTGTTGTCCCCACATGCCAAGGTTTCAAGTTTGACCCCCGGTCAGGGTACATACACGAGTCAACCAATGAATGCATAAGTAAGTGGATCAGAAAATCTCTCTCTCCTTCTCTCTAAAATCAATCAATAATTTTTTTTAATTATGAACATTTAAAAGGTTATAATACAAATAACCTTCTATGGTTTTACAAATGTAAATGAAAAATATAAATTTGTAACTACAGTGTATTATAAAACCTGTTTTGTTATTTATTTGCCTCTTGCCAACCTTGAGTATCTATAATAAAACAGACAAGTACATGAATACACATAAATGAAATAATCCTTAGCCAATTTTATAACTACAAAATACCTTATTAAAATTTTTTATTCTTGCCCTGGTCGGTTTGGCTCAGCTGTTAGAGTGTTGGAGCGTGAACCAAAGGGTTGTGGGCTTGATTCTGATCAAGGGTACCTATGTATCTGGGTTACACGTTGATCATGCAGGAGGCAACCAATCATTGGGTCTCTCACATTTTTATATTGGTATTCCCCCTTTTATCTTACTGGTTTTTAAGAACTCTTTATATATTATGGCAGCCACGACAATGTGTCTTTCAAATCTCCTGCTGCATAATTTAGCATAACTGACTGACAGTACCAGATATTGTCCTTCTGGATTCATTTCTGTGCTCATGCCACACTTCTTAAACCATGCTCCCACAAATGGTTAAGCATGGCAGAAGTTCAATGCAGGTTGGTTATTTCTTGACTCAGGATTTTTAGAATGGGAGACTTTGTGTCAAGGACTCCCATTAGTTGGCAAAAAGTTTCTTATAACTACAACAGTCTGACACTTTCTCAATCCTCCTTCCTTTCACTCTGCTTCATAAGAGTCTGACTTGGATCATAGTCTGAAGGCTCACCTCCAATTCTTACTTTTTTTTACATAAAAATTTTCCCAAATAAATCTTTTGTATGATTAATCATGTCTTGGGGTTTGCTTCTTGGAGGACAAATAATGCATACATTAAGTATATCAGCCCTTTGTGATATTTGTCATTTCTTCCTGTCACAGATATTTAAAGAAAAAATACTTTATGAATTTATATAAAAAGAGAGGATCTCCACATAAGTTCTCTCTAATCAATAGAAAGTGATGTATTTATTTATACTTATCTGACCATATTTTTTGCATATTTTTCTCCATGGTCGGAGTGATTGATCACATTAAAGAAGCTCGAGCCCTGACTGGTTTGGCTCAGCGGTTGGAGCGTCGGCCTGCGGTCGCGAGAGACCGGGGTTTGGTTCCCGCTAAGGGCACCTTATCTTGGTTGCAGTTTGTCCTCGGCCCTGGTTGGTTGTGCGGATGGCAGCCACTCAAAGTGTCCCTTTCACGTTGATGTCTCTCTCTTTCTCTTCCTCTCTCTCCCTCCCACTCTACCTGAACAAAAAATGGAAAAATGTCCTCGGGTGAGGATGAAAAAAAGAAGAAGAAGAAGAAGAAGAAGCAGCTAGAGAAGCTTACTTATTTCTCTTTACTTAGGGAATTTTTCTTCCATATTTAGGATTTCTGACAGGACTAAATTTAACCCAGATGAAGTAGATTAAAGTCTGCACTAATTTTTTAAATTATT